ATTTGCTTTCGAAGAGTGCCATCTCTAGTGTACAGAAAAGTGTTCTCTACAACAAAGCGAAGATGTTGGAGAATCTGAGAAACGGAAAGGCTGTCTGGTCCTGAATCGGTTGTCCATTGGCCAGAGCAAGGCCCGTGAATATATATCGTCACAAACAGAACTGCCCGGTAAAACCGTAGGCAGAGAGAGAGAAGAGGACAACAAACGAGGGGCTGTGACAAACTGTTTCGTCGGAGTTTCACCGACTCATATGTGAGGATATGGGTCCTCGGCAGGCCTAAGGGGCCTCTTAGAGCAGATGTGCCCGCCCTAAGTGAAGGCGGGCCTAACAACTCACGAAAGGCCCTAAGCTGTCAATTTCATATTTGGGGTCCAGACAGTTTCGTTGCGCCAATTGGTTGACGCAAACACAGACCAAGCAGCGAGACATTCCACGGCCTTCTGGGCCTTTCCAAGAATGCAGGCCCTGGGCGAGAATCGCAGCCTCATACATCGACAGTTGGGAGGCCCAACCGAAAGAGGCCCAGTAGCTGCAACACAAGCGCAGCGTACTGGGGCCTACCGGAAGCTTCTGGGCAGAGGCCCAGGCCAGCCAGGCCGCCAAGAGAGGCAGGCTCTTTCCGTATAGGAAGAGCTCGCTGGCTGGCCAGTCAGTCAGGCACTCACATGCTAGCGGCAGTGCTGCTGGAGCGGATGGTCGTGGGCTGCTGCTGGCGCTGATAGGCGAGGTGGAAGTGTGTGCTGTCGTGCAGGAGCAGGGCGCTGCTGAGGGCAGCACCATAGCCCAGCCGCCATAGCTGGGTGAGGGCTTGGTTGTACAATGAGGCGCAGGGGTGGTCTTCGGGTGTAAAAAGGGAAGACGTGGGAGTAAGACAAGGGAGAGAGGGAAAGACGATGATGATGATGATGATTTGAGGGCACATACCCGCTATTGGCAATGGTCTGCTACGGGCGACATCTTCAAGTACTTCGTGGGCTGCTGACGTCAACAGTTGCATCGTCAATTAGTAGGCAGACTGTAGCTGTGTAGGGAGTAGGCTGGGCCCCGAGCGCCAAGTAGGAGATAAGGCCTGGACACTCATGTTGGTGATGGCGAGAGCCATCTCTCATTGACATTGGTTTTCAGTGTTACGATTCGTTTTTTTTTTTTTTTTTTTTTTTTTTTGAGGAAACAGCCCGAGTGAATGCTAGGGGTGCTGATAAGAGCAGACACCACTAGCATGCTCGGGGAGGCTCCATCTATTGGTGGGGAGCATTGGAGCAACACCTGCTGGAAATCGGGTCCAGCGTCCCTCAACATTTATAAGCGGGTGATCTGAAAACAATCCCGAATTCATGTTAACATGCCACGTGTCCGTCCTACATTAGACATGCGTGATCAACCGAACCGACACGCGGGCACACTCTATTACCTGATGAGCTGCATTGATTGCCCTCAATCGAGGGGATTAACTGCACATCGCCATCAAAGTCAAATTCCCACTCCGAAACCCTCATCATCTACTAACAAGTCCTTGCAGCGCCCTAAGGAGGAGAGGCATTCAGGATAGGAAGTAAAGAAGTCAATTACCCCAGTAAACAACCAGAACTCATATTGCCATGCCACGTGTCCGTTCTTCTAACAACATGAGCAGTCAGCTGAACCACCACGTAGGCACACTATCCGAAGTCGAATCCCCACTCTGAACCCCTCATCATCTACCAACCAGCCTTTGCAGCACCATGAGGGGGAGAGGCATTCAGAATAGGGAGTTGGATCATCAATTATGGCTAATCCCAAAATCATCAATCAGAATGGGGAGTTAGGTCATCAATTATAGTGTATATGTAATCCCAAAATCATCACCAACCCAGGACAGGTCTTATATAGGATTACCTGCCCCCAAATCCCCCCACGATCCTCATGAGCAACGATTCGACTGAAGAGCCCATGCTTCGCCATAAGGAGGAGGGGCACTGAGATTTGGGAGCAGGGTTATATAGGGTTACCTGCAGCAATATCCCCCCACGATCCTCATGATCCGTGAGTCCAGTCAAGGTAGGGGGCACCGTTGCCAAAAGTCATAACAAAACAAAACACCAACGTGACAGGGCACAATCGAATCCCATAGGCAGCCCTGATACCTGACCA